GTACTCAGGGCGACCTGGGGGCCGGCACCTGCCCTCGGGCACGGGGGGTCCTGAGCAGAACACTGGTGTCTGCCGGCCCCGGGGCATGGGGAGCCCCCATCTGCATCCCACACCCATCCACGTCCTTGTCCCCGTCCCTATCCCTGCCTCTTAACCCATTCCCATACTCATACCAGGTCTTGTCCTCATCCTATCCCCATCTTCGTCCCCATCCCTATCCACATTCTTGTCCCTACTCCAATCCCTGCTCCTCAGGGCCTGCTGTGGGAGACAGAGTGGGGCCCGTGGCCGGTGTCGCACACAGAGGCTCTCGGCAGTCACAGGTGGCCCCACAGGGGTGCCCCAACTCCCGGCTGTGGCCAGGCTGTTTCGGGATGGCCTCCCCACAGCTCCCTATTCCTGCCTTGGCCATCACTGTTTGCCCGGTTGCACCCCAGCCTGTTTCTGTTCCCATGGCAGGGTCAGTCCTGCCCTGCTCCATCCTGGGCACAGTGACAAGGGCACTGTCCTTCCCTCAGCGCTGCCCGCGTTTCCCTCGCACACCGCACCGCTCACCTGCCATGGCCCTGCACATGGACCTGCCTCACTGCCGCTCTCCTGGCCGGGGGCCCTGTGCCGGCACCGTCTCTCATTTGGGATCAAACGGAGCCTACCACCTGCTTTTTCAGTGTTCAAACAAGCCACTTTAAGCTTTCTCATGTGTTTCCAACTTGGCTGTGCCACGAGGATTATGGTTTATGGCAGCGTGAGGCGGCCGGGATGCTGTGCATCCTGGCCCCATCAGGCACGGCTGGGCCTCGGTGTCTGGAGCTGAGGCTTCCCCCCAAACCCATAGGATATGAATTCCTTGAGCCCTTCAGATCACCCAGGGTTTCCCCACAGACTCCAGGAGAGCAGGATTGGACACAGGATGATGCCCTTGTGGTGCTGGGAATCACCTGGCCCAGGAGCAATTGGCTCCGTTGGTGCAAAACCAGGGAGAAGATGATGGCACTTAATTTTATTTATGGGAGTAAATAAAGTATCTGTTACCTGCAGAGAGGTTTAATCTCTAGGATATAGAAACACTACAGAAGCAAATGCCCTGGTGCATTCCAGCACACACACATGGCGATTAAAGCCCAGACTGTCATTTGCCACCTGAAAGCTGGGTAAAGCACAGGGGAAAAAGTCTGAAGCGTAGCTGAATCCTCTTGTTCATGCCCAACAGGAAGGTAAGGGCTTTACTGGAGCATCCCGTGTGTGATACCTCTGGGAGCTGCTGGAGCCAAACAAAACGGACACAACAAATGCCTTCTGGATATAATCGTTCCCAGGCACAGCAGAAGGGAAGGAAGACTTTTATAAACAATTATCCATGCAAGCTGCAAGAGTAGCATTTGCAGTAGCTCTCCAGGGCCCTGATAAAACTCCCTGAGACATGCAGAGATGGATAGGATTTATAAACCGTGGATGGGTATTTCCTACATTGCATCTCTCCCGGCAGTATTATCGCATGAAGCTCTCTGCAGAAGACATATATGTTCATGAAAACATTTTATAGCCCTGTTGTGCTGGGATTAATATCAGATAAGAAAGTCCAGACCACGTGTACTTTGTTCTTCCCAGCACATTTCCGAGTCTGCAAATAGAAGAGTCCAAAGGAGCAGATGACTATTAACTAATGCTCTTGCAACTTGGTGCAATTTTGGCATTTCATACACAGTTTTCATAATAATTTACAGGTGCTGCATTTTTTCAAGAGCAGACTTATCTGTGTGTCCGAAGACAGTGTCTCAATATAGAGATGTACAGATAGAAATGATATTTCTGGGTATACAAAAGCTGTTAATCAGTGTTGGGAAGTCACTGGTTGAACTCAGTGAGGGTTTTGAGTCCCACAAAAAGCACTGTAGGTGCCTGGCCATGGGGAGGTAGCTAATAAAGTGTCACACCTCGTCACAGTGGTGACATTGTGTAAAGCCTTTTGGACACCCTTCTCCTCACTCCTGGAATCTCCCTGAGCTACCCATTCTCTCCTCATTTTTCAGGTCTGACCAGTCAGCCTCGTAACGGGAGGGAATTGAAGGACATGTGATGTTCAGGTCAGATTAGAAACTCATCTGCCCTTGTGGGCCCAGGCTGTGGGGACAGAGGTGGCAACACAAGATACCAACCCCAGCTGCAACTGCTGGCACCAAGAGAGTCCACCTCATTTTTGAGGCAATCACCCTATCATAACAGCCTGTTTTGTGGAAAGTGTCAGGATTTATTTAATGAATAACACAGATGAACCACCCAACGTAGGGGGATTGGAACTAGATGATCTTTAATGTCCCTTCCAAACCGAACCTTTCTATGACTGTGGAGTCAGAAGTTTCCTTAACAGAAAAACACTGAGTCATCTTTCTGAGGCTCATATGGACCCAGCTGGACTTACACCGCTGTGAGAATGAGCAGGGCCAACTCCAGAAATCCAAGTCTCTCTGAGAGAAAAAGATGATGTTGCTGCCTGGCAATATCTTCCACACACAGAACTTCATGTGGAGCGAGCTGCTGTATGGGTTTAGCACAGGGAACACTTCTCCCTTCAATGTGGCCATGAAATCTCACACACCTTGAACATTTCCCACCACCACCTGCTATGAGCTCCATCAGTGCGTGCCCAGAATATTCCACAGTCACTGGTATGCTCAGAGCCTTTCTGTCTGTGCATGGCAACCTGTGGTATCTTCAGGGAATTGGTATTTGAGGCATCCCAGGATGCAGGAGCTGCTCCTGTGCTGCCTGCAGCCCCCTCCCCAGACAGGAGTTGTCAGATGGGCACCATGCAGGGACACTTGTGCAAGGACAGCTGAACATGTTGTGCTGAACACATTTTGTTTTACATTAGGCTTATAATTTTCGGGCTCATGTTTGGTTTGGAAGCTCGAAGCCATGCCCAAGCCTACAGCTGCCAGCTCTAGGGCAGGCAGTGGTGTAATAGCCATTTAATTCCCCTGTACTGTAATCTGATGGTGGGATGTGCTCCCAGGCTGCTTTTAGGTCTGACTGGGGAACAAAATCAATCACAGAACACCCGTTACAACGAAAGCGCTGTTGGTGTCAATTACCTAAACTCTGCGAACGTAACTCTTCTAATTTCCTGTTAAATCAGTAATGTTACCAATCTCAGTCTATTATTTTAATTAGGACTGTGACTGCAGTTGCTAGGAGCCCAGTGAGCGCAGACAAATGCGAATGTGTAATTAGTCCCACAAACGAGTGGCAAGTTGAATGTGTCAACATCCTGGATGGTTACAACATGGGGTGCAGCGGGAGGCCAGGCCATTTGGGCCAGGTCCTGATCTCACTGGCCTCAGCGCCAGCCCAGCAGACTCCGCAGAGGTCAGCCCGGACAAGAGCTGGGCTCAGGGAATCCGGGTCTGGACCCTGGTCACTGCAGCTTCTTGGAGCTTCACCCTGGGTTATTTTTAAAATGTCTGATGTCCCACCTTGTTTGATTTTTTTTTTTTTTTTTTTTTTTTTCCCTCGCTGTAACGCCTCCTCAGAGCCAATTATCCTGCAGTGAACGCTGCAGTCAGGTTAGCTGAATGTGGGTGTTCCCAGCGCCAGCCGGCATCGGATTCCAGCCCTCCCAGGGGACCGGAGCTCCTAGGGCGGGTACGGTGCTTGGCTCCCTCCTCTCTCTTCCTAGCTGTGAAAGAAACCTCTCAGCTTCTGTCACATCTGACTGCCTCATGCATCCCCAAAACAGCCGCGCTTTGACAAGGGAGACAGGCGTTCCGACAGCAGAGCAGCGCTAGCTACCAACCTCACCCGAAAACACAAGCTGAGCACAGAACCCCAGGCTAAATATAGAGCCCAGCTGGGAGAGAAAACAATGTGGCATTGCAGATCCATCAAAATTAAGAATGAAAATCTGAAGGCGCTGCTCAGTGACGACCCCGGCTGCTCCCAGTGAGCGCCGTGTGCCCAGGGGTCCAGCCTCCCGCCAGTATCCAGCGTGGAATGGCACAGGAGGGAGAGCAGTGCTTTTATTAGCACTTGGCCATCAGTCAACCGTCCACACTCCACAAATAAATGAACAGGCTGGGTGCGTGTCATCCCAGTTCACGTGTTACAGAAATAACACTGGACTGGAACCAGAGTTAACACAGCTGAGATTTGGGATGTGGCTGATTTGGAGAGAGGGCAGATGGCAGGGCCTCGTTGGGCTATACCTGCTCTTGGAGGCAGACCTGATTTACAGCTCCATCCATCTTCTACATTCTAATTTCCCTGCTTTGGTAGGTCATTCTTCTGCTTCACATGGTACTTCTTTCAGAACAAATAGCCTGGGAAAAAGTCAAGGGTTTGGTGTACATTGGATGGACTGATTCGGTCAGCTTTTCAAGATAAAACCAGTATAGAAATAGTATGAAAAAAGTGAGAGAACCCTGAGGGTGTTGTGTGATGGTTATCCCCAGGGACCTGAAGACCAGGCACTGATGCTGTGCCAACATGAGCACTGCAATGCCTTCGGTCCTGGTACCTCATCTGGGTCTGGCTGTGGCTTCATGCTCTCACTCATGGCTTGCGTTGGATGGGATTTTTCCTCCTGTGTCGTGACATTCAAACAGAGATCAGGCCCTGTTAGTTGATGCATTAAGCTTTGAGCCCAGTTCCCAGTGATAGAGCCTTTGCCACCACCTTGCAAGAGCTGCTGTGACCTTGCAGAAGGTGCCTGATCTGCCCTTGTTTTCTGCCCACTTTCCTTTAGTCCTCCAGGAAACAGCTTTAACCAAAGCCACATTGCATGTGTGTTTTATAACAACTATCCACTGTTACTGCCACTGGTGGGTTTTCAGGCCCTGTCCCAACGTGTGTCCTTGCAGCAGAAAAGCCAGTATCCCTCCTGGGATGGAGCTGAGGCTCACCAGTCCTGATGGCTGTGTGCCTGCTCCATCCCTGAGAGAGCCCTGGGCAGGGTGGCTGTCACCTCTGAGTTGTTGCAGGTCGATACACTCACCCAAAGAGCCCAGGGGCTGGCAGAGCTCTCCACTGCCTCCACACCCCTTGGGATGCCTGTTTTGTGCAGGAAACAGGAAGAATTGCCATCCTCATGCCTTTGTGTCCTGAAGGCACAGGAGCCACAGCTGGTGGGATGCTGCAGCCCCCCTCACTCCAGCTTTCTGCAGGAAGGGGGGTGTAAAGAACCTGTACCATCCCAGCTCCAGGCTGGCCAGGCGGATTCTTCATCCCACCACGCAGCCCTCTGAGGTGAACCCTTGATTAAAGTCTGTGTGATGTCACAGATGTGCACAGATACCCTTAGCCCTAGGATTGTGCAACTGGCTGGTAATGTGCATGTTAATAAGGCTATTAAGGTTTACAAATATTCTGTTCTTCCTTACAGTTTATAATTTAATTAATTGCCAGTTAATTGTCTTATTTTCCCCCTGTGATTGATGTCAGTGAGTGGGATTAGGCAGCATCAGATGACAGAGGAAGGAGGAATGAATGCAGCATCCTATGATGGTATGAGAGGAGATGTTTTTATGGACAAATCCTTTCTGACATGGATGAATACCTCAATGAGATATCACAGAGTATCAGCTCAATACATATTGTAATGGGATCATTAGAGGAGGTACCAGCTGTGTGAGGTTTGTATTCACAAGCCACGAGTAAGTAATGGGGAAATATTGGCTCCTTGGAAATGTTTGCCAAGCATAAATCTTTCCTGTTTTTCCTGAGCTGGTGCTCAGTTTACATAAACTGGGAAATAATTCTCTAAGGGTTGTGGGACTGCTCCAGCTACCCCTCAAGTTGGTCACGGCAGGGCAGCTTTGGTGAAGGAAGGGAATCTAAACGCAGCCCTGCTGGGCAATATTTTTCCATGGGGAAAAATTAAGGGTCTCCCCTTAATTAAAGAGGTCTCCCACCAGGCTGTGGCTCCATCCCTAAAACAAGAGGCATCTTTACTTCTAAGTAGGGAAGGGGGGATGGCTGATCAGACACTGCATCTTCTCTCCCAGGATTTTGAGTCTCTCACCAGGCTTTTTCACACCCTGCCCACCCCCAAATGCCTGTTTGATGGTCAGGTCTGTGCATCACAGACGTGCTGGGAATACCATTCCTTCAAGATCCTGCTGTGCCTGCAGACACAAGGGCCAAGTGGGTCATTGAGCTCAGGTTGATTCTTGACCTGGAGATGGTGCAGAAGGAACTTCAGGGCTTTTGCCTTCCCCGAGTCTTTCTGGGTGACCAAAGGCAGCCAGCTCTGTGGGGGAATGGCATTTCTTTAGCTCCCAAAGCCTGCAGCAGTGCCAAGCAAGGGGATCTGGGATAAACAAAAACTCAGGCGACTTTTGACCAGACTTTGATTGCATTTCAGCAGAATAAACCTGGAGCGATTCCAGTGGCTTTGGTGTGACTGGGATCAGACTGTGAAACTGGGCTGCACAGTTCCTGCTGGGGTGGGTGTGCAGTGTGGTTGAACCCCTGCTTAAATCGGCACAAACCAACGAGGTCATTTCTGAGGCTGTAATCAGAACACGGAGCTAGCCAAACCACATCTGTCTCCTTTAATTCATTCCTTCCATTTTGGGGACTTAGCCTTTAGGAACAGCTATCAGTGATTACATAAAAGAGATTAGCCAACAGTTCTGCATAAATCAAGGCCAGTGCAAGATGTGCACTAAGTGCATTGCGAAACCTGGGGCTGGTGGAGGACAAGTTCCTCCTCTCGTGGAGTGAGGCTCCCTAGCACAGGGTCAAGGACAAAACCTTCCTGCTTCTTAAAATGGCCCTTCAGACAAAAACCTCTCCAAACAGAGGTGTGCATGGTGGAACATGGTCTTCCCCCAGGTTGTCTGGAGTGGAATTTTTCACCAAAGGAGATTTTCTATCCAAGATACACGATGGAAACAATGAAAGCAAGGGCTGGAGAACCTTGTTGTAAACCAGATCCTCATGTGTGAATGCAAATAAATATTGCTGCTGAAGGAAAAGCCAAACCAGAATGTGTTACATTTTCTCTTTTAGCACAGTTGCTAAGAAAGTATCTTGATTTGAACACTGTTGGATGACTCAACAAATCTTTTTTTTTCTGTCGGTTTTGTTTTTGTTTTTGTTTTTTCATTTTGAGGCAATTTCATCATTTTTCCCCTGTTTATTTTTCTGTTAACATGCAGGGTGAGGTTGTCCCAAGGTCAGGGAGTTGGAATTTCCCTTCCAGTGTTGTCTTACTGCTCCTCTCCCTTTTTTCTTGCTTTTTTTGCTGCAGGTCACTGCAGATCTATGGTGAGGTTGGTGGGGGAAGGCTCAGCCCTTCTCTCCCACTCCACCTGCCCTGGATAGTGCCAGCCCCTTGACAGGAAAATACCTGGCTGGGCATTGTCCTTCCACCTCATCATCAATATGTCTGCATCACAGCTTCCCTTGTGAGCTTTTAGGGCTTTTTTTTTTTTTTTTTTGTGGGGGAGGTAAAATTACCAAAAGCAGTCTTGTGTTTTTGATGTCTTCATTTTTGAGGAAGTGAACATGAGATGCAGCAGCTGAGTTTCAGCAGAGCTGAACACCAGTAGCTCCTGTTACTGGCTGAGCACTCATCGCTGCTTGAAATCAGGCTGGGAGTGTCTTTAATGGTATTTATTGTTTAAGGAGAATTGTGCATCAAACCTGAGCAAGACCTGTGAAAAAATCTAAGAAAAGGGGATTTACACTCCTCTGGTAGGAAACTGAAACAATGTGCAATTTAAGATCAGCCATTTAAATGTTTGTTGGCTCCTCATGATGAAACCACCTACCCAAAGGCATTTAGAATTATTTTTTAAAAAGTACAAAAATACTTATTTCCTATTGAAATGTTCAGGAAACACATGCCCAGGAATAGAGCTGAAAATGAAGCTGGTTATCTTTCTTCATCCTTTGATCTCCTAACATCGTTCAAAATCTGGCCTCCAAGCAATGTGCCCAAGGATGCACGAAATCAAGGGCTGAATCTTTATCTCCTGCACTTGATCGTGTCTGCACTGCCATTCACAACACAGATACATTGCTCCTCAGCACTAGCCCTGGCTGAGGCAGTCAGCAAGACTAATCCCAGAAATACAGCTCCTGGATGGGAATTCAGAAATGCCCTGCACAACCTGTTTCCTCCCATGCAGGTTGCAGCTGCATTTGGCCCGTGATTCTCCCCAGATGTGTGGCGAATTTAAAGATCTATCCCAGTCCTTGACCTACATGGAGGAGCACAGAGCCAGTCATTTCTGAACCAACAGCCATAGAAAATCGGAGGCCTTTTCATGCTGGAAATTCCACGGGGAGGAAGGAGAGTGCCTGCAGACAGCAACTGCCTCTGTAGTGAAGGGAAGTCTGAAGTTTCCCCTCTGCTTTTTCGTGCATAACAGCATCTGTATGCCTCATTTCCATCTTCACAGCTCCTGTAATTTACATAATGAACATTTGCAAAGCCTGAGATCCGGGTTCACTTTGTACCACATTTACTGTAGATGACCTTCAGCGTATCATCAGAAAAGTTTCCCAGGCAATTTTCCCAAAGGGTGTGAATGTGAAACCTAGATCATCAGGGAAGGAGGAAAGGGGAATGAAAGCAGATTTCTGAGATATCTGTCATTCAAAGGTATGTTTTCGCTTCTACAGCAGAACAAAAATATTTGAATTTAAAAAGGAGTTTTGTCTTTAAAGCAGGTGTTGGTATCAGGTCCCTCAATAAAGTGACTTTAATTAGGTTTGCCTTCCTAGATCTGCAGAAAGACAATTTCCTTGATAAAAATGCGTTTGAAAAAAATATTAAGTCGAGGGGGAAAAACCCTCAGAGACACAATTTTATTTGCATTCCTTCATAAGCAATGGCTGTAAAATGAGTTTATCCAGTCTGGCCCCCTGATCAGGTAATGAATATGAGAAAAAAAAGTCTGGTGACAAATAACTGGCAATCTAGCAGAGATTCAGGACTGAGGAGGAATTCTGACCTCGAAGGATAGGAATAGGACATCAGGGTGAGAACAAGCAGCTGAAGCCACTTATGGCTCCTCTGAAGGTGTCAGCTGCAGCTCTGATTGCACCTCCTGATAGTGCTCCAGCAATCACAGAGTGATAAAGCAGGAACTGACCCATTTTTGCTTCTGACACCCATCCTCAATGAACTGTCCTTTTCAGCCCCAAGTTCTTGCAGAGTTCATCTGACAGAGTGTCCTGGGAAGCTGCATCTCCAAGATTACATTGAACTTTATGTAATATTTACATGGGGCAACAGGAAAGACACTTTTATAGGTGTTGGCTGGCTTCTGAATAAGCACGAGTCAGGGATCATCTCTTGTCTGAGAGGCGCTTATGAGTCCACTTTTTGTTTGCTGTTTGGGCAACAACACAGGTTACTGCTCACTGCAGCAATGGAGGATGCTTTGAAAGAAGAAATTCATTTTGTAACTGACTCCTGTTTGTACAGAAAATGAGCTGAAAGCTGAAATGCAGAGCCTTATTCTGGTGATGAAGTAGGGTTCTCATATCAGCTGTCATAAGACTCTTCAGACAGAATGAATCACAAACCCACCATGATAGGCATGCTGGAAATGCTCACGTAGATAAACCTGACACCCTTCCCGTTGCTGTAGGCCAGGCATATATGAAGTGCTGCTTTACATAATAATCTTGAGTAGGCAAGCCAGCTTTTTAGATTGTTTTGTGTTTTGAAAAGAGTGCCCCGTGTGCCCTCCTCTTAGGGCAGGTAGGTGCATTTGCACACTGCCAGGTAATTACAACATGATGGGTATTAACCTGTATCTTCCTACCTCTGGTTTGCTGCCAGTGGTTTATCCATATATCCCTTGGGATTGATGTTACAGCTATAGGGCCAGTGTATAGGTGAGAACTGGAATCAGGGTGAATCTTTACCAGCTTGTTTCTTTTAGTGTGGTCTGGCTCTTGGGCTCCAGTCATTAC